ATGGAGGGAACCAGAAAAACAAGTGAGAGTTTAGAACCTAGAGGCTTATAACCAGACAAGGCACTGGCTGCAGTGAGTGGGGGTGGGGGCACAGGTGGCCTTGCTTTATGATAGGGGCAAGGTGGGACTGAGAAGCAATGGGCAGAAGAAAAATCTCTTAAGGTGCCCTACCAAGTCTCACTGTCCTTTGTGAGTTAGGGTTTGAGAAAATCCACCCTGGGGAAGCATCTCCACAGGAGGCTGGTGCTGGGAAAAGCCAACGAAAGTTGAAAGCAAATGGGGCCTAACAGAGGAAGGACTGTAGAGAAAGTGCAGTACCGGGAAGGTGGGTGTCCTACACTTTTCTCAGGTGAGGGTGGGGATGAACTGCCTGTGTGATGTGGCAGGTGAGTAGGGCATGAAGACAGAGGCATTGAAATCAGCATATGAAAGAAGGCAGTTGGCAGATCCTGGAGAATGATCCCCACCATGGCTATACATATATATGACAGTAGTATGCTCAGTACAAACGTGGGAAAAGCTGGTAGGTGGAAGTGGCCCACGACGGCTCACCGATCTCTTGGCTGAGCCTACTGGTGTGTCACACTGTCCTAGCTCCATTCTCATGAGTGCCTTTATCTTCTCATAAACTGTCTCTACTGTTCTCCAAGTGTCTGTATTTAAGTCTGCTCTAGGACACAAGAACCTATGAACCTCACTGAATGTCCTGTGGACTCTGGCCCACCCATGTAAGGCTTGGGCCACGCTTACTTAATTACCAAAGTCAGGTGCTGTTCTGACATGACAGGATGGCTGTTACAGGTAAACCAAGTGTTTTTAAAAATCATATGTAGCATTTAAACATTTGTATCACATCAGTCAACGGTATAATGCTGGCAGTTGATTCTGAGTTTACTTCCCAAATCCCTGGGTCTGGAGTGTCTGGGGTTTTTCTTCATTCTTAAAACCTCTCTCTAGCTGGGCGTTGGTGGCACATGCCTTTAATCCCAGCACTCGGGAGGCAGAGGCAGGTGGATCTCTGTGAGTTCGAGACCGGCCTGGTCTACAAGAGCTAGTTCCAGGACAGCCCCCAAAGCCAGAGAAACCCAGTCTTGAAAAAATAAAAAAAAATAAATAAAACTCTCTCTCTCTCTCTCTCTCTCTCTCTCTCTCTCTCTCTCTGTGTGTGTGTGTGTGTGTGTGTGTGATTTATTGTGTGTGTGTGTGTGTGTGTGTGTGTGTGTGTGTAATGTGTGTGCACTGGCACTCATGTGGGATCAGAGGACAACCTGAAGGGGTATGTCTCTCCTTCTGTTCCACGGGTTATATTCTATCCATGGAACCCACATAACAATTGGCACTAAACGCCTATGTCCTCTGACCATCTCACTGGCCCAGGGCAGTCTGCTTCCTATCACCTCTGCTTTCTATCATATTATAGCCAGGAGGTTAGAGCATACACATACGGTTACTTGAAAAGCACATTGGCAGAAAATATTCTTTGCTGTTCTTAAGTTTTGCTGCACAACACCAAATATTGCCAACATTATCTAAGTTCCTTCACGAAAATTTCCCTGCAGACTCCCCAAGGAAGATTTTGTTAAAATACTGAAATCTACAAGGGTGTTTGTGGCCAGCTCTAGCAAAATGAGCAATTTATTTAACAACAACATTCTTAACCTACGCAAATGATTCAATACACATAGCACAGAGATAAAATTTAAAATTCTATAGTATATGAAATTCATATAAAACCTGATTACATGCAAATAAAATATGTTCTAGACCCAAGTATGGTGCATATCTACAATGCCAGCTTTCAGGAGGTAGAGGCAAGAGTATCAAGACATCAAAGAAGCTCTAGAGAAATTACAAAGCTGAACTACCTAAAATCATAGTCCAGCTCCCTCCCCTAAATTTATACCATTAACAATATAATGGGGGCAGTGAGATGGCTCAGTGGGTAAGAGTTCTTGCTGGCAAGACTGACAATCTGAATTCAGTTCCCAAAACCAACATGGTAAAAGGAGAGAACCAATTCCAACAGGCTGACCTCTGACCTAAAGACATGGGCTGCTCATGTGCACCTTCACACATGAAATAAATACATACATGTTTTAATAAAATCACAGATCCATCAAAAATAAGATAGTGAGATCAAGGAGCAAGTAGTGAGTTACAAATATGATACAAAGAATATAAAAATAAACAGTTACTCTTCAACTACAGCAATTCAATTCAGGAAATAAAATGCATTGTGAATTGAAACTATGGGCATTAAGGGCACTTCAAGACATTAGTTATTACAGTGAATAATATTGCAAGAGTTGTTGCCCAATATGCAATGATCTCTTGGAAGGGGAAAACTATATAAATATGTATATACCCTGAAGTTTAAGAACATTTGATGCCAAAGACATTTTAAACACCTCTTAGCTTGATTAAATAAAATGCCCTTCAAAAAGTTCTCCCAGACAACGAGAGGAGCTGAGAACAATTTCACTGTAATAATTAAGAACTAACATCTGAAGTATATGTAATATAAACTCATTCCTGTTGAACCTAGTTCAGTATGGTGTTTCTTAACACTCTTGGATGGAATAATCCCTTCTCCCAGGGATATTTCCTTAAGTATATTTAAAACTCTACCAAGGTATGAGAGCCATTGGAGACACAGGTGATCCCTGCCCCCTCCTCCAAGGGATCCAGATGTTTCCCTAGTCAATGGCTCTTCTGCCTGGGCTCTCACACTCTGCCCTGTCATCAGTTTTCAGGAATGTCTGTGTGACATAGGTGTGCCAGAGTCTTTTTAGTCATAGTTTTGTATTAGTTATTCTATTCAGATAAAGAGTAAGCATGCAACTAAGAAATAAGCAACAACCTTGGAAAAGATCAGTACATGTGCCAGTTAGCTTTAAGTGTTAACCTGACACAGGCTAGAATTACCTGGAAAAACTCTCGGTGAATAATTATCTGGATTGGGTTGGCTTGTGGGCATGTCTGTGAGAATTGTCTTAATTGCTAAAGCTAATTGATGTGGGAAGACTCAGCCCACTTTGGGTGTCACACTTCCTTGGTCTGGGGCCCTAGACTGCATCAAGTAGAGAAACTGAACTGAGCACAAGCAAATGAGTTTTTCTCTCTCTCTTTCTTGAAGGTGGATGTGATGTGACTAGTTGTTTAAACTTCCTGTCTTGACTTCTCTTCAAGGATTAACTAAAACCTGTCATGTAAGCCGAAACCAACCCCTTAAGTTGATTTTTTTTTCTTGGGCATTTTTATCACAGCAACACAGATGAAATAGAACATAGATGAGACCAAGAATAAGTAAACTGTAGAAATAAAAAGTGGTTTAATCTCTACTGCTTTTTTAGTAATGTTGTGTTCTATTATTATCTTCATTTTTACAAGTGAGGAAAGAAAAACAGAAAGAGATTAGGTGACACTGAAGTTTTTAAAATAATAAAACAGAGAGCTTGGATCCAAACAAAATCCTGAGCATCTGGCTCAAGCACCCATTGCCTTCAGGAAATCAGAATCTAAAAGGCAGTGCCCTCTACACTGGATACCAGCGATCAGAGGCAGGGCTGTGGACAGCAGGTGGGGAGCAGGTCACATGCCTCTTGTCCTGGTTCGTCATACTATGAAAGTATCTTTCGGGCCCTACCGTAGGACTATGCTTTTATTATTGTTCCTTTGTTTTTGTTTTGTGGCAGATTCTCTTGTAGCCCAGGTCATCCTAGAAATCACTTTGTAATCAAAGATGATCTTGAATTCGTGATCCTGCCGCTGAGATTTCAGGTCTATACCACCATGCCCAATTTTATGTGATGCTGAGGAGGGAACTCAGAGCTTCCCCATGATAGGCTAGTGCATTACCAACAGAGCTACATCCCCAGACTGTGTTTTTAGAGGATGGGTGTTCTAATTTCATTTTCTGTTCTGAGACAAAATACCCTGATAGAGAGCAAAGCTTAGGGAAAAAATGATTTAGAACTTACAGTTCCAGATTATGTCCCACAAATGTGGGGGCATCACGGTGGAAGGGACATGGAACATCTATTCACACCCAGAGTCAAGTGCAGAGAGAGAATTATGCATGCTCTCTAGAGCTCTACTCCTACACATTTCAGAACCTCCATCTAGGGAATGGTGCCACTCATAGTGGGCTGGGTCTTTCCAGAGCAACCAAGGCAATCAAGACAATCTCCCAGAGACATGCCCAAGTCCAACCGAATGTAGACAATCCCTCAGTTAAACTCTCTTTCCAAATGACCCTCTAGGATGGATGAAGCTAATACCTTCACTCAAGTCTCAAATATGTCAAATATTTCCACTTAAGTCTCAAAAACCTCAAACAACAACAAGCAAGCAAAATGTTCTCTGATGGCAGCTAGGAAAAAATGACCTATTAAGGTAAAATAAATGTCTCTAAGATACAGAGCATCTAGTTCTTTCAAACTATGTGTTGGAGAGCTGGGGTGCATCTGGATCTTCTTCAAAGACCCCTTAGCTAGGTGTTGATTCTCTCTGTGCATGTAGCTTACATGTTGATGTCTACACATACCATTTTTCTTAATGCAATGGGTCTACCAAAAAAACTACAAAAACCTGTATGTAAATATGTACATAATTTTCACAACCATTGTATATACTATTGTATCATTTATTTACTTATTCACCCATGCTTCCATATTACGAGGCATTAGGAAAAGAAAGTCAAGGGGTCCACAACTCCTGCCTAACGTGCTGGGAATTTTAGAGACTAGGATTGGGAAGCAAACTGTGGTGCTGTTTTCTCTCTTTTGAAGCAATACTGGGTTGACTGAGTCAAGACCCTTCTAGTGCAGTGAATTTTAATTGTGTCCATTGTTGAGGAAGGGATCCTAGTGGCAGATGGTATCACCTGTCTGGGAGAACTAAGAAAGGAACCCTGGTACTCATAATCATACCAGTACCATCAGGTCAGTACCAGAACCAGCAGCTGTTTCTACCAGTGAATGGATAGATGGGTGTCTTACCTCCAGAGCCTTCAGTCTCTTTAAGAGCAGCCTGGTGTTTTCTTTTCCCTCATCGGTACTGCTATTTTCACTTCTTGAGTCTTCATCTACCACCACCTGGAGATCAGCCAGTGCCTCCTGATGTTTTCTCTCTTCCTCAGACACTCTTTCCTGAAGCCCAAAAGAAAAGTCCTGTTTTCAATGATCTACAGATGGAACATCACAAAAGTCTTAAGTGGAGATGTCTGGATTTGACTCTGTTGCCTCTGAGCCTTCTCCTGGGCTGAAGTAGAGAAGACTTTGTAAAACAAGATGAGTGGTGCTGATATTAGTAAGCACAGTAGATCTGTATTTTGTTTGTGGACATATGTGTACCTGCAAAGGTCCACATGTATGTACATAGGCCGTGTGGGTGCATGCAAAAAGGTGCTCAGAAGTCATTCATGGGGGATCATCCTTAAATGCCCCCACTTTGATTGCTTTAAAGACACTCCCTCTCACCAGTCTAGAGCTCACCAATTAGCAGGGCTAGCTAATAGGAAGTTACTGTCTGTCTGTCCCCAACTCTCCAGTGCTGGGATTGAAAACATACACTGCTATGCCTAAACATTTTACATGAGTTCTGTGCGTCAATCTCAGGTTATCATGCTTGCAAATCAAGTACTTTATTAACTGTACTGTATTTCCAGTCCTACATCAGAAGGTTTTTATTTGTTTGTTCATTTTATTTCTTTATTTTTTGGTTCCTCTGCCTCCAGACTCTAGTAAGGTAAAGCTACTGGGCCACTGCATCTGAAGATGCATGTTGTCCACTCAGTTGGAGAAGCCACCAAGCCAGTCAAGCTTCAGGGACAATCATATGGTTAATCAACTCGTATCATTACAATACAATCCAACTATGCTTTAGACTCAGAAAAAAATACATCAATCTTGATGCATTCATTTGTGAAAGGCAAAGAGGATCACAGCACTCAATGGACATACAACTAATTAATTGATTTAAGGAAAAATAAATACTGTAACATATTGAAATGGTGATTTCAGATTTTTAGCGCATTTTGTGTATTGATATGCATGCATATATGTATTTTTCTTGTGTGCATTGCAGACGCATGTGTGGTATGCATGTAAATGGAGGACTGAGGTTGGTAGAATCATTCTGTATTACTCCTCTACCTTATTCATTAAGACCATGTTTCTCAGTCAGAATCATAGGTTACCCATACAGCTCATCCCTATAACCAGCTTTATCTGGGGATCCCCCATCTCTGCCTTTCAAGACTTCAATTACAGGCAGACCTGTATGTCTATGTGGTATTTATATAGGTTCTTGGGATATGAACTTAAGTTTTATGTTTGCAGGGTAAGTGCAGGCACTGTTGAGCTATCTCTCCAGCCAGGTGGAATTCTCTGCTCAAACCAAATAGTTACTCTAGCCATGATTAACCTAATTTCTAAGGATTCTTGTATTCCTCCTCTAACACTTCAGAATTTGTTGTACAGCCTTGAGGCAGACATAAAATGTTGTTGTCTTGTCTTGCCTCCCTGTTGGAAGCTCCAAACTCAAACTTGTCTCTGACAGCTTTTTGGAAGCTGAGAAGTGTTAATTTGAGACTCTTGCTTAGCTTTTGCTTTCAAGGGAAAAATAAATATCTAGAGACTATGATACAATACACGATAGGGATGGCTGAGTGGGTGAAAGTGCTTGCTGCCCAAGTGTGAGGACCAGAGTTCTGATCCCCATAAACCATGTTAAAGCCAGGTACAATCTTATGTGTTTATATTCCAAGCATTCCTACAATGAGACAGGAGGCAGAGACAGGCGAATTCAGGGAAGCTAGCAGGCCACCTAGCCTGGCATACAGCAGTAAACAAGAGATCTATCCCAAACTAGGTGAAAGGTAAGCTCCAACATTCTAAGGTGTCCTTTGGGCCCCCTTCGGGTGCATCCGTACTTATACATATGAATACCAGGGCATGCATTACACACAATCATACAAAAGGATAAAAAAAGACAGTACCATATGAACAATATTCCATCTGTTGTGTATGACCAAGGCCCTCGCATCACATACCAGGTGAAATCATCCTATAACACTACTTAATTCCCAGCATACACTGCAGTGATCTTGGCCCTGGCATAGAGGATTGCCAACCATCTGGCCTAAAGTGGATTAGCCATACGAAAAACTTCTTTATATTTAGTACTGAATTAAGATCATCTGTAAATATGAAAGCAAAACTCAATAATCCTGCCTTCAAGGGACTCATGTCATCTATTTAGAAGGAAACAATATTGAGGGAGCCACAAGTTCTCAAACTGCATTCACCAAGTTACTATGAAGGATCCAAAACACTTTAAATTAATTTTGAAAATGCATTGTGAAATATATAAAAGTGAATCTTATAGTACATATGCATATAAAGCACTTATGTCTATATGTATAAAATCCATGCATATAAACACTCATCCAGCAGGTTAACCCATGTTAATTTCTGAATATAATTTTAGCTGTGATTTCTGCATATAATACATATAGAGTGATTTATGAAAGTGATAGTGCTTGGCTGGAGAGATGGCTCAGTCCATAAAATGTTGGCCTTGCAAATACAAGTATGTAAGTTCCATTCCTAACTCAGAGAAAGGCCTAGGATCCTAGTACTGGGGAGCATTGGCAGGCCAAATAATAAGCAGTTGTTTCTACAGTTATAAATAAAACAAAATAAAAACCCAATTCCCCATTTCTAAGGAATGAGATGTGAGACTGTCCTCAACAAACATGTACACATATGAACATATATATAAGAACACCAAACCACCCCAGAATGTGACAGTCACATTCCAGCTCTACCTTTAGAAGCTAGAAGCTCAGTAAATGATCTTGGGCACCTTATGTTCTGTAAGTCTTGATGTTTTTGTTTCTAAATAAGATTGTCAGCACACACATATACATAGGTAGCTACTCTCATTATTCGCAGTAGCTGTGCTCTACAACACTGTCATGAACACTCAATTAGCATGTACTGAATCTCATCACAATAGTTCCACAAGCCAATTAATATCTCTCCTGGAATCCTGCATGTTTTTGTGTAATGCTGTCCTGTAAAATATATGCTGTTGACTGTTTATTATTGAAGTAGCCCAAGGAATATAGCTTATGCCTAAATATAATATCCCTACCTAATTTATTAAGGCACATCCCAGCTTTCTTTATACTTAGGAATGCTACCCTGTACATTAGCACTATGCATTGAGGGGTATCTTAATCAACTTACTAGCCAAAAAATTATAAAGTAAAAAAAAAAGAAACAAAAAACAAAACATGATGTCAGGAGCAGGAGGCTGGCTGCCCACTTAGGAAGCAGAGGGTGAACAGCAAGTGAGACTGGGCTGTAACCTTAAAGCTCATTCCTAGTGCCCTACTTCCTCTAGTAAGGCTCCACCTCCTAAAAAGTCCCATAACCTTCACAGACACCACCACCTGAGTCAGGGAGCAAGTGTTTAAACACATGAGCACACTGGGGGAGGAAGGTGGTGTATTTCACATTCAAATTACAACAAAAGTGATTCTTGGAAAGAGTCCAAGTACAGTTCATTGATGCACTCAGCACTGAGTCTTCTTACCATTACAAACCATTTGCTGATCCAGGCCTCAAGACAGGAAAAACAGAATGGGGTTCTTATAATTAATGAAATTATAGTTAATGTTGGAAAACATGACAAATGGCAAACCACATGTTTAGGTAATACAACTGCTGGTAGTGGCAAATGCTATGAAGAAATTAATACAAACACTGTGACCGAGAGGAGTATAGTTAGGGACAGTTTGGGATAAGATTTGGTAACATCAGAATGAGACTGCCTGAGGTGCTGAATACCAGTTGATGAGAATAGGGAGGCTTTGGAGTAGGGAAAAGACAGTCTAGGCAGAGATCCTTTCTCAAAAACATACAGAAAGAAAACAAACAAGATTGATGGGACCTGAGGAATGACAGTCAAGGTCAGTTTTCTGGCTTTCATAATACATGCCTATGTGTCAATGTGCAATTGTATATACATGTTTACCTGTACACATGCAAACACGTAAACACACACACACACACACACACACACACACACACACACACCACACACACACAATCATAATGAGAGCTGGACCAAGGAGAGTCTTGCAAGTTGTGAAAATGGAATTAGCTTGCTTTTATGTAGAATAAAGAGGACGTGGGAGCCAGGAAGGGGAAGTGCATACTAATTGCTACAATGGGAACTGCTATGGGAAGGGGCCGCAGATAGAATGGTTAGCAGTTAGACAAGTTGAACAGCCTATCTATAGCAATGACTGGCAGTTAGGGATACTGGAAGTTTTGAGCTCAGAGCTTACCAAAAGCCTCTCCTATGGCAGATCAGACTCTATCATGGGTGGACCATCAGAAGCCCTGGTTCCAATGTCAAACCTCACACAGATCTCAAAATTATCTCATCCTGGGACTGATAAAGCTGTAGTATATATGAACCAAACACAGAGCCTTGCTGGACCAATCATTCACACAACTAAATGTCCATTCTAAAGTTAAAATCCTCTGCATTCAACATCTCAAAACATAGTTTATCAATACACACAACAGCAATGACAATGACAAGAGAAAGGGAAGCGGACCTCTATCTCCTCCACCTTTCCTAATGAGAAGGTGGTTAGGGAACTTGAATGTGGCAATTGCATCCAAATTGCCTGTGGCCAAGCAAAGGATGACAAGAAAGAAGAAAATGAAAGTCAGCTGAGGCAAGAAAAGAAAGAGAATGCTCTAGCTGAAGGGTGTTGCAGAGGTGTGTGGATGTCTCCTCCAGAACTGAGATCATGGAATCCTGGAAGAACTATTGTGGACAGTGAATGCCAGAGGTGGCTGCAGCACTGATGGAAACAGAAACAGAGGACAGAGAAGAGGGACAAGGCCATGCTTGTAAGGTAACTGCACTGAGAAGCATCTCTTCGTCACTCATTTTCCCGTTAGCATTTTTAATCATTAGTATGTAGTTGTGTCATTAGAAAACAAAGACTCAAAGCCAGTCTTGGATCCCAGCACTTGGGAGATGGAGACAAGAGGACTTCGATGGCTAACTAATGTTGGCTGTAAACTTGACTACATCTGGAATCAACTAAAACCTGAGCAGC